ACAGAGTGTTTTCAATTCTTGAAGAGTGCTTCAATTCACAACCAAAATGCACAATTCCAGTCAACACAGGCCAAGCAATCAAAAGCAGGGATAAACCCAAATGGCTGCCGCCCAGACTTAGTATAAAGTATAACAACATAAGTGCAGTTCGGGAAGAAACATAGGGAATTAGTGAAGTTGTAGTAAAAACGAAAACTATAATAAAATACAAATATTAACAATTCAAATGTGGCCAAAAAGTTAACAATGTACAACAAAGAGGATCAATAGGAACAAAGTGCAAGTATATACATGGAGGGATTTTCACAAACACACAAAGCATTCAAAATGGATCTTACATATGGTATAAGCCCAGAATTACCAATTCTCTTGACGACTCTGATATTATTTGCAAACAATTCAGCCAGCATTTCTCGCAATGCTACAAAAGTGGAACTGAAAACTCTATCAATACATTTCCATTGCTGACGTCTAGACATCTATCAAAAATTGATTTTATACCCTCCTACATCAAGCAGGTCATAGCTGCTTTGAAAACGTCTTATGATGGTGGACCTGACGAGATCCCTTCATCATTTGTGAAATATGGTAGTAGAGAATGTCCACTACTTTGTTTGGAACTTTTCAGCCTATCTGTAGAATATGGGACTTATCCATCTGAATGGAAAACATCTCTTATCATCCCTAGATTCAAAACAGGATCACGTAGTGATATTTTTAACCATAGGCCAATTAATTTAACATCCGTGCTCTCAAGAACCATGGAAAAAATCATCCACAAACAGCTATTAACATTTTTACTTTCGAAACGTCTTCGTAAGCAGGACTCACACATTTAGACAATTTAGAATTCGAGAATGATTTGGATGACATACTTGAATCGTGGGTGCGGAAAGACCCATAAAGCATATCTTAGGTGTGCATTTAGCACTACAACCTAAGTAAAATTTCTTTTTTCCCTCCAAAATTTAACGGTAACATCTAGGAACACAATGTTAAATCTTCCGTGATTATTATGGTAAATGAACTAACCGTCTAATCTGTTCAATAACACATGAGAGCGCCAAAAGCCTATTCAGTCACTACTCTATTCATTTTCATTATCGAATTTGAAGTATCCGCGGCGGGTTAGCATAAATCAGCTGAGCGGTCTCGAGCACTTAAGTTCAACACGAAATCTTCATTCACTTGGGTGCAGGAGACATGTCCACAGGCAATTCAAAGTTTAATCATTTTAATCGCTTTTCACAAGATGGTAGAATTCTAGGAACAGTCAGTTGTCGCATAATCCAGAAGTGGAAAAAAAACGTTTAATATATGTATGGGTAAAACTAATCATGCTAATTTCATCTTTTGTACATCTTAGTATTCTCTAACTAGTGGGGGCCAGATGTTAATAGATATCAGCCAAAATCTTAAGGAAGATAGAAGATGGGTATATTATTATTCGTAGCTTCTTAGAACATTTTAGACTATCGTGTTCCGTTACATTGAGACTATACAGGCTACCAAAAGTCCATAAGAAGGATATCCCCTTACTTCATATACTTAATATAGATAACTCTCTGTATCATTTGGTTGCTAAATGGTTATCTGGAATTTTAAAACCCTTCAGAAATCATACCAACAGACACAACCCTCTTGATTCACTTGATTTTGTCTATTCAATAAGAAATGTTGACGTAAATGGTGAAGATGCCACAGGTATTCAGAGTTTGACAACTCTTTGACCAGTAACACCTATATGAAGCGTACCTACCGAGTGAAATCAAAAGATAGAAGCGAGGAGGTTCGGAGATATATTTGATATGCTATCATTATATCGAGAATCGTCTGATCTTATCTGGCTAGCGACTGCAGTAGATGTTGAGCACGGCGTTCCCACTCGTGATCTGGTGCGGATGCATGACCGAGCGCCTTCAGCTAGGTGAGTCCATTAAAACATGTGGTCAGCATTCAATGTTGAGTACTGACAGAGCTATTTATTTTGGGGGTTTATTTACCGCTAGAATAACAAAAATATGATCTCACTGGATTACACTTCTTACAATTATTCCACCAACAGAAACTTTATGTTTGGTGTGACCATGTTGAAAATGACAACTTTAATATTCTCACCCCAAAACATTATCTAAATGGGCCACATCTATGAAATACTCTCAATGTGCGATTCGGATTTAATAATGATTTCTACGGACAAAATGAAGTTGCAGTAGGCTTGTGGTGGTATTGGTTCATAACAACACGATCTTTGAAGATAAACATAATTAATGAGATATACATTCAACAAGTAACACTTGAAGATGGTTAAAAATGATGAATGCGAGAACAGTGATCGAGATGGCATGGCTCGGCCATTCAGGAGTGGTCACTATACGTAAATATATTTCTTTCTACCCAACTCAAATATATTTCTCAGAAATGCCAGACGTCACGATATGACGAATCGATGTGGACTATGTTGTGACTTCAACGTGAGACTGTAGTGGCATTGAATCACAACCACACAGTCCTCAAAACTGATCATGAGACTACTCGGAAAATAGATATTAAATATTTGACGTGGAGAAATACCTATAGGGCGGGAACAATGAATTGGATTAATTGGAGTTGATCGAATGGAATGGCTCGGCCATGCAGGCGTGGTCCCTGATGAATTTTACTTTGTCTTTTATTCATATTCAATATATTGTTCTATCTCTAGCCTAAGCTTGTTCTACATCATATATTGTTGATTGTTACGATACGATGAGTTGGTATAGACGATGGTATGACTTCTACGTAAGATCTTATAGATTAGGCAGTTGTATCATGACAAGTCTACAATCTTAGAATTAGGTCCATCATTAGCGCAGTGCTAATATCATAGTAGACCATAATTCTACAAGACCTTATAGATTTAATGTTCACTTTATAACAAATCTACGATTTTGTGATTAGTTCCATTATTATTGCAGCAAAGATAAAAATGCTAGTACTGAATCAGAACATAAATCTGCGGATTCACCACTGAGACCCCTCTTGGCTGATCTTTTTTGACTAATCAAGAAATTAAGGCACTTCAACCAGTAATTTCGAAGTTTTATTTAGATCGGAGATATAAGGATGATGGTTTCAGTATTTGTGAAAGATATGAATCTGTATGAAATTTTGAATAGATTAAATAATTATCATTACTGAATTCATTTCACATTAGCAGTAAGTGCATGCGACGAATCTCGTTTCCTTGAAAAGAATGTCAGGCGGTTCCCTAGAAAAATCTACATCTACATTTACACTGACCTCTTCTGGTCAGTATACGAATTTCCATAGCTGGGTCCCATTGAGTAGAAAAATATGCTAACTCACATTTTATCCCCAACGACTAGGCGAATATGTTATAATGACAGAATAGATGACGAATAACCTCAGATCCGACGAATACTAGTCAAAAATGGCTATTCATCCGGACTGTATGATATAAACCTAACACCAAGATAAAACCCTAAATAAGAACCAACAGTTTAAAAGAAAAGCGTTTTTAAGAACATCGAGTTCCTGAATAAAACATTATACTCAGTTAGGATTCGTATTGTCTTCTCAAGCCGGCATACCATTTAAGGATCTGTTAAAGATACAATTCTGCTTCAAAACACATTGATGTGGATATTTAAATTTATTTTCTTCCACAAAGCAACCACTTTCTAAACACGTCCCGGGACATCATCTTGTGCATCTTTTGAACGAAGAATGCAAAACCATTACCAGTTCTATATAGATCGCCAAATCAATTTTGAACACATCGGTTTAAAGAAGACTACCTTCAAAATAAACTACATATTCGAAAGTACTGGAATGAAGAGAGACGTGTGGTGAACCAGACGATGTATAAACGTGAAAAGTATCAACAAAGTTATTAAATATCGATAGTAATATTAATATATACTAGTTAATTGTTACAAATACAATAAAAATGGGGACTTTACTTAAGTTCGTCAAATTGACGCGAGTTCAGCTTTAGTCTGGTACTGAAAATCCACAATTATAAGTTCTTGGTAATTCCAATCAGGCTGACGAACTCTCCAGTAGTGTAATTAAATGTAAGGTATGGTATATTCCCACTCACAGTCTATAAATGTGGGTAATATTTGATTTAGATTTCAGCCAACTCAATCACAAGCGAAAACAGAACGAGGGATATGTGTGTAGCAATGTATTTGTTAACAAGCATCAGTATGTCACGCTATGTAGTTACACAACGGAAAGTGTGCTCAAGGTCACTCGCTAAAACGACAGGTACGGTCATTTAATGATAAATATACATACAGTAAAAGATCGAAAAAATAAATAAAAATGATATTAAAAGCTATTTAACAAAATAAGCTTGTCAGGTCTATCTCCAGAGACGGAATTGCAAATTTTATGCGCTGAGGATTTAGGGGCCCATTAATTCGGGCCCGAACTCGGCGTGCAAAATTGATGAGCCGAACCTCTCATCCTTTCGTTTTACTAACTCCCTTCTGCAATATATCTTGTGATTACTGTTTTGAAATTTTAAACAGTAATTGCCTGTTATTATACTTTACTAATTTTTCATGATTATGGTTCAATTGTTATTTACGTTTTCCGTTTATCTAAGTTCCCGATTACTACGCAACCTCTTTTGACATTTGAAATCTCTAATCACTTTATGATGTAATTTCTCCTGTCATTCTAAAACCTTACATATTTACCAAGAAATTATTGCTTGAATAAATCATGCGGTGGTGGTCTCGCTATTTTCTCTGCACCCATTAATATCAATATTTCTTTTTACAGGTACTCACGAGGAGAGAGCCCCGTTTACCCTTACCCTTTGTCTCCTGTCACGGAGAAAGTTACCTATCCAATCTTCTACTGTATAATGGATTCCAAAATGTTCCAGTTTGAATTAAAGACCAGAGTGGGAGACCTTATCGAAGTCATTATTTGGTACTAACTTAGTGTTTAAGCGATGTGCGTTCCCTGAAATTATAGCGGGGGTTAAACGAAAATGGCTACGCAGGTTACTACCAAATAAATGTCAAACTGGACTTTGAATCATTCAACTTTAACGTGTCCTTTGTCAGGGTTATTGGTGTTAACGTTTTCGAATGGATTTCCCGGAGCGGGTTGATTGTGTCATTGACGGTACAGGTATGCTGGGAAGTGCTGACGTTACACCATTGACTATTAGTATTGAAAATAGTCTAAATTTTAAATGGTCTCTGGACATATTTCCTGTATTCTTCCAAACTAGTTTGGTATTTAGCTAAGTGAGCTTTCTCCTTCATATGGCTGTTATCATGTTTAGTGTATAGAGATTAAACACCTTTGTTTATTATCTCAGCGTTATATCACCATTTTGTTTGCTCCTCATACTTATTTTCAAGCATTCTACCCTATTTGTATATGTAGGGTTTCCTGTTCCCGACTTCTACTTGCATCCAAATGATTTGTAGATCATCACACGATTAGTTACACTGTGAATTAGAAGTAAAAGGTTCTTTATAGTGCCTATTTGTCCTGTAAAAAAGTTGCGATGCAGTCGGTAAGCGAAAAAGATTCGGGTAGGATGTCTAACTTATGGAATCTCTTTAGTCTACAGCTTGGTCATCATGTTTTATTTCCAAAAACCAGCACGATAATACCTTTTTTAAAAACAGATGTGTATGTTTGCAAAGTATGAACAATAGTCTTTACTTTCAAAGACTAGCCTGTTATATCATTCTAGTTACTTTATTTACTGCTGAGTTCATGGCTTGTTAAGGAAAAACGAATACAAGTTTTAAAGTCTGATCATGGGTCCGACTAGATTCACTGAGGTTCTTTTCGGCTCTTATTATAAAAAGTGGATTTCTAACAGACGATGTAAATCACAGAACGCATATCAGACTCAGTCCCGCGTAGTCTTTGAGTGGTGAGTCTATAATTTTCGGACGACCTTTGAGCGATTCTAATGTCCACCTACTTAGTAAAGCTAAATGAGTTATCAACCTGTATACAGAATAAAAATTATGATTTACAGTTAATTGTTGGGTTTAGGAATTTGTTTTAGGGTTTTCATTATTAGCTGATATCAGCTAAAACGCTGAAATGCTCTTTAACGAACTCCTCGCCAAAATCCAAGACCTGTTATCCTAAATCTGGATAATTCTTCCACAGATTATAGCCCAGTGGTTTACCTAAGACTTCATTGAAAATTTGTACTGATTCACGGAACTCATTTTTTTCGTATTCCAGGTTTAAGTGAATCTCTGATTTCTGCAAGTTTATCAATATTGGGGAAACAAATTCTTCATATCGATAGGTAATTTGGACTCATGATTTGTATGTTAACATACCATAGAAATGGTTATTATGGTGGAGTCCTTGCATCTTTACGATTCCCTGAATTCGAAAAACTTCTCAGTCAAAATGTAAGTTCATTTCTTACTTTAAATATCTCTATTATGATTTGTTAGGAACCTGACTGCCCCAAAAGTCTTCCAATCATTAAAGATAATTGTTTAGATCTCAGTGAGATTGAGTCTCCCTTGGTCACTCACAGGTCATCAGAATGGTTTCTAGGGTGAGTGCTATTTGGTGTTTTTTAAATTTTAAATCTATTATTTTGTTCAATGTCATTTCAGATAATCCATCGCAAAACCCTTGAATTAGGTGTGAAAACTTTTTTCCATTACATAACATCGACTTTCTACTGTTGAAATATTTTTTGTCTAATAAAATACAGTTTTTGTATACCTACTTTTGTCGAGATATCAGTAAATTCTGATATACCTACTAAAAATAGATTAAAATAGGATCTAAAACGGTATTAGCGGATGGTAACTAACTGGAGATAATTTGTTGAGTTCATAAAAACCAAGATATAGTTATGTAAAAAGTCATCGTCACTGAGATAACTCATGTTGATTTCTCATAAGTTGTAAATTAATTGTTTAATGCCAATATTAACACATTTTGTAGTGATACGAAGATTCGGTACTGTTATTTGTTTTTTTCATTACTACTATTGGTGATAGCTGTGACGACAGTTTCGATTCATATGATGATAATGATGCTGAAAATTACAGTAGTGTGAGCAGAAAAGTTATTAATGATTCACCAAGCACAATGGCATTGCCTAGTGATATCACTGTTCAACACGATCATATTAGCACTGAGATTTCTAGTGTGGTTCGCGAGCTTGGAGAAGAACAAGAGAAATCCAATGGGGATGGACATGAAAACGTTACAGTAACCGAGCAAAAATCTGATGACGCTGATAAGATTGTCCAGAGCCAAAAATTATGGTCTCGGTCTAAACTACGAAACGCTGTGCGCCTACATGATATAGACATAGTACCAAAGGTAATGTTAATGTTATTGTTAAGTACACGTGTATTAACTATTAATTATTAAGCCTATTATTTTCATCAATTTCAGTATCACTTTTGTTTACCACGGCTAAGGGAATCGTTCATTTAAAGCATGCATAAAGCCGACTCACTACTCTAAGCACTCGAATGGGGGTTACTTACCCTACTTTCCCTACTTTGTATTTGGCAACCAAATAGTATCTCGAACTTTTGAGCAACTACTGTAATGTTGGGAAAATGTCAATACTCATTTTCTAAATATAAGTTTATGTACCAAGAACTAAGTCACACCATATGAGGACCAGTAGTACTCACCTAGGCGTGAAAGTAAGGTAATTTGAGTGGAGTTTGAACCTGTGGTATAGCTTGAGTCTCGTTACTCAGGCTTTTTTCAGTGGTCTCAGATATGCTAGCTCCGTACCTTGGATCAATGTAATGTGTTATTCTTAGGTCCAACATTTTCTAACCTTCTGTAAGGAATCAGCATCCCTGCAGACGTTAGTTGCTTAAGGGGAACACCCTGATGCCATCACACTTCATGAGTCAACAGTATGACTTCACTCTCAAACCTCGATTTTACTGCTTTTACCCTTACTTCTCTTCAACTGACCTCCCTGTCATGATAAAACCTAAAGGAACAAGTGTTTCATCCAATATAGTGCGATCAAGTCATCACAATTGTCAAGCACGACCACTACGTCAGGGTAGCAGTTATTGCCGTTGTAATTAAATCCCTAAGTATAAATTAGACTTAGATTATTGGTGTAGGAACTCGAATTTCAACTTCCAGATCACCAGTTCAAATCCTATACATACGTACAATGTGAATGAACTCAGATAAATCTTACTGTCTAATCACTATGCTATCTGATTTATTCTTAACGTTCAGCTAAATTCACGAGTGCATATAAGATCGATGTACACTTTTTCAATCGATTCTCTCTTTACTAAAAAACACTTGGTTAACGCCCAACAGGTGACCATTTATTTACCTCACAGAAAGGCATGGTTTCCTTTAATGTGATGTCTTTGAAACATAATAATCAGATAAAACTTATTTGTGTGTCTCTAAATATGAGTAATGACACTCATCTTTCAACAACCGTGTTGCGTGTTCGAATACCGTCACAACAACTTTTGTTTGTACTGACTAATACTATCACTAGCTATTAGGGGAAAAGTGTTTGGCTCAAAACTGAGTACATGAAATATAAATAATTGGTCCAAACTAATTGGCTCAACTGTTAGAATGATTCCGTAGTTGAAATATAGATCTAAACCAGTTAAAGCTGTGCAGTTGCAGTGGAAAAAGTGTTTCTTACTAAATCAGATAACAGCCTAAACCTGTGTCTTGTCATCAGTTTAGTTCGCAAACCATAATCTATCGAAATTCCACTTCTGCGCTCACTACTATTATGTGCACTACTTATGCGGACAGACATAAGTAGTGTGTGGTGGTAATTGGGAGTGAAATGCTTACTGGCAGAAAATTGAAATGAAGAGAACAGGAAGGAAAACAGAACAACAGCAATAGAATCGAGTGTATAAAAGACGACTCAAGAAAGACGTGCAAATTATGTATTTAATGTATGATTTTCATATTTTACAGAGGTAGTGTGATTGTGTACAAAACAGTGAATCGGTTTTACCAATTCTTCATTCACTACACTACTATTGTCCCATTATTGAACCTCAGCAATATTACGGTCTTAACATAGTTTACTTTTCTAACAAATTTATTCATAGCCATTCAATTGTATCATAGATTACACCTGTGAAAGATACCACTGTCTTCTATCGAAAGAAAAATTACTTGGTAGAAATTAAATTATAATTAATAGGTGTGTGAGTTAACTACAACAGTACAGTTGGAATTTAACCAGTTCTACTGTTTATTAATTTTTGAAGAATTTCATTAATTATAAATTGTCTAAAAGCAATCATTCGAATATTCATATAGTCGATGTCCATTTAGGGTCTAATTAACGTGAAATTTCAACTCAACTTCTATGTAACGTAATGGTGATTACAGTTCCATAGGTTAGCTTTCTAGATATTTTAATATTATATTCTTCCTGCTAAAGTCTTGTCAGAATGCATACAATGATTTGTCTCAGTTAAGTGAAAGCATTTAAAAGTTAGTTGTGAAGACCACTTACAGGATTATGTATCTTATGGATTCGGCTGATATAATGGTGTAAGTATTTTTGACGAATTCCTTCTAAGAAAAAAAGAAGAATGTTTTAATTTATTGATCAAGATTTCAATTTTCATTATTAAAATAATTATATTCGATAAGGTGTTTCAAATTGACCATAGTTTGCAACTGTATTATACTATATCCATTAAGGTGTTGGATTATTGTTAATTTGACTTTTCATATCTGGACAATATATAACAAAACTACTGAAATTACTTAAACTAATTACTTAGAAAACTTATCTCTAACTGAAGAAATATCAGCATTCAAAGCTGCCAAGAGACTAACTGAGTACATTAATTAGATTGGTCGTGTCTAACATGAAAATTCGGGATGCGCGTTTCACCACATATGGGGCTTGTCAAGTGGATGTACCTGTCTCCCAATGTTGATGTTTATAGCGGGGCTTTAACTCAGTACCTTTCTCTTTAAACGCCCAATCCACTATCCACTGAGCTTGTGAGTTCTGATATTCGTTAACTTATTTAACAAGGATTATTAAGAATTTGAGTTATCCCATTGTTGATGTTGGGAACTGCAGTTTCATCAGTCTTTCTTGGCACATAACCATTATAGTGACCATACCAAGACCATCCTCATAGGATACAAATATACCAGCAAAGATTGAATACTACCAGTCGAGTCAGTGTATGGCGAACTATCTGATTTTGCAACCACAAGTGGTGTTCTCCTCTCAATTAAGGGACGAGTGTGCTGCGCTGTTGTTCGTTTGATTCTACTTTACGGCTGCGAAATGTGGACATTAAGAGTAGAAGATACTCGTAAGGTACCAGTATTTGATCTCAGATGCCTTAGGAATATTGCTCGCACCTGCTGGGGTCGCCGGTTAAATAATAATGAAGTTAGACGCAGGTAAATCAGTTGATAAGGTTGTGAATCTTCATTGACTGAGACGGTTGGGCCACGTGTTACGTATGCCTGAACACCAATTACCACGATGCGCAATGCTGACTAGTGTAAGGGATGGTTGGAAGAAAGTTAGGGGCGTCCAAACCAAAACGTGGTATCAGTGCTTGAAGTCGTTAACTTCTAGTCTGAGTCATGTTGGTAGATGCAGACTACTTGGTTGGTGTCCGCGTGACTATCGTAACCAATAGTTGGAGACTATGGGTGACATGGCTCAGAATTGATCACATTGGCGTAGGTGTATACACTCCCTGTCTTCCCTTAAACTGTGAGATCAAAATTGCTTCATATCTTTCTTTCTACGAAGCAATTCTTTCTTCCTGTACTATATCTTTATATACAATCTTTCTTTTATATATTACTACCCTTGAATTAACTACTATAAATTCGGTGTTCATCTTGTACTAATGAGGTATGGTAACTTGAACCGATGTATATATGTGCCTGGTCCTACGTTGTAGCTGACTGACTGCAAAGTTTGAGGGTATGTCAGTCCCTAATATAAACAATGTGATAACTCAAAAATGATATGAAAATATTAGGGTTTAAAGCTGCTATTTCGTATACACCAAATATTCACTCAAAATGTTAAGAACTGTATGATAATAAATAAACAATCAATCATGAAAATAGATATCACTAAGCAATAAGTGATCTTTCACTTCTATTTATCATTATCATAAATTTGTTTAGTTATATTGTCAGTTTATGCATTGTTGTGATAACTCTCTTTGTTTTCAGATAATTTATTCGCACAGTCCTGTAGTAACTGCGCTTCAACGTGCTGATGTAACAAGATATTTAGAATTTCGTTTCGTATCACGCCTGTTAGCTTATATTGGTAATAATCAGTGCACACAACAGTCTGGAACAGTCTTAAACAATGCTGATAATCAATCTTCCTCAACAAATTTTACGGGTCATGTAGTCAAAGTAAGTGACTACGAATTTTCTGTTTATTTTTGTTACTTTATAGTGTAGCTGGTTTTTGCACATTTTTATAATTAAAATTTATTCAAATTAATAAAGACTCATATGCATGTTATCATCTCTACTGTTTGCATTTTATTTAAGTTGTTGAGGTTGTACAGTTTTAATTGTATAGTTTTCTCACAAAAAACTACAATATAAAATACTAGAGAGTGAAAATTGTTTCATTTTGGCTGAATAATCCCCATAGTAACATTGTCACTGTTAGGTCTTGAAAATCTTTTGTTTGGTCATTGATACCGAATTAGCTCTCTAGTGTTACTTGAATTTTGATATTTACTCTAAAAAGTATCTTCAAATTCTTCATTAGTAAATTGATTTATTGTCTTTGATTTGCAGTTTTATTATTAATAATATATGGATATACCACATCTTTTTTTTTATTAGATTCCCGTCTGTCGTTCTGACGTGTTTAAAACACGTTTATTAAGTTTACATCAAAAAAGATCGTTAGGTGCATTTTTCGAATGGTGTTTTCATTTAATCATTAATGATACTCAACTCAGTACAACACATTCTAATAAAGATGAAGATTATTGTGGTAAGTTTATGCTATGTATTTATTTGCTCTTAACATAGATATTGTGTTTTGATGTCTGTTAAATTCATATTGATATGACGGGATTAAAAAGCGAAATTACATTCTTTTACTCATTGTAATTTTTAGTCAAGAATACTTTCATTTTCAATTCGATGTGATATAATTACTCAGTATAGTTTCCCAGTCTGATATTTTTTTTTGGTATAACACTAATTGATTTGAGTGTGGTGTTTGTTCAATATAATAAATTCTTGTATTTATTTACCACAACTATTCTCAGCATGACATGTAGCGTTTGTACCAGTCTTGATGTTCTTCGCGTCGTGGGAATTTCAGTGGTTCCTAGTTTTACAAGTATAAATAATAACCGATTCCGATATAGCCATTAGTGGTGACCAGATGTAACATAAGGTTGGAACGTTATCGGTACAAACTTATGTAAGGTTGTGAGTGAGCTTTGTTAAAATGACTGATGGCTCTTTATTTTTAATGGCTTTTCAGACAAGCTTATTAAATAATATCTGTTGACTGACGACTAACTTCAAGACAAACATTTCAAAGTTCAACCAGAAAAGTGAGCCCTATAAAGTTAATCAAACAGATAGTGTGAGGCATTCACTTATCAATCATATAAGAACAAAGTTGTACCGTATATAAATTGATGCTAATATCAACTAGTTAGTGTAATTCTTCTTATACAGAGTACTTGTTAGAATTTTATGGGTGATTAAAAAAATTCATATTTGTATGAACCAGCATTTAAAGCAACATGTTTTCTTATTACACTGTCTACAAGACTAGAAACTGTGAATGAAAATCCTAATGTACATTCTTATTTCTATTAATATAAATATCAATAAACACGCATGTAAACATAATTCATGTAGATTTCTTTTCTTTACATGGGTTACTGATTATAATGTGAAAAACGTACAACATATTACTGAGATTAAATTAAATGTTGAGATTGTAGCTAATCACATCATCATCATTTCCAATGTAAATAAGTAAACTACTTGAAAATAAAAAAAATATTTACAGAAGTATTAAGACTAAGGACTTTGTCTGAAACCAGCCTTTTCTAAAGTTACTGCTGGTCCTAAGCCGAGATAAAGGAGAGTTCGGTGTAGGATTAGCAACCCCATACCGAATAAAAATCTTACTAAAAGAACAATAAACATAAATGTCATTTAAACGTAAACCATCTGAACTCTTATCTGAAAGTTGAGAATCTTCATATTGAAGAGTTATAATGCCTCATCGAGAAAGCTGATATTGTTAAGAAGCCACGAAATCGATGTCCAATAGTTGTCAGAAGGGATCCTGACAACCACAGTAACAGTTAATGTAGATACATGCAATATCCAGGACATGTGGAAGATCTGTAGAGTCGTTCAAATAGCCACACTAATGAGGAGATACAACCTGGTCGTATTTTCAGTAACTAAAATCTATTGGACACAATGTCTACCATTTTAAACGATAAAATCATCTTCATGTTTTACCTAAATAATATGAAAATAAAGGCTAAATCACCATATATGGCAAGTAGAAATCTTAAATATCCTTCGAATTCACAATTTAAATGATTTATTGTGGTATATTATTCAATAGTTATTATTTTCAACTACTTATAACATGTAGCTTAAAACTTTCCACCATTAAAAGGGGCGTATAGTCTATAAAATATGTGTCAAACTATGATAGTGGTGGTTACTCCTGTTATATCACATATATTTATACCTAAAAAAGGCATACAACTGACTATCTATAGCATCAATGGAATATTGAAATACCTACCAAATAACAGGTGTACTTTAACACAGATGCGAAAACATCTTTATGGGTTCATGAAAACTGTCAGAGCTTTGATCATTTGTGCTTTGGTTTGAGATTAAGCTAAGTTGTGTTAAGGAGTAGAATAATGATAATTAATATCAATAGGCTATACGGCAAAGTTCTGATTTCGCGCAGACTGATTTTTTGGTCATTCGAAGCCATTTTATATCAAAGTTTATAATGTTGAACAATCAAAAGTTGGGAAACATTTTTTCGGTAACCAGACATTGACTTATGAAATCGCCGATTGTTTACTTTGATCATCCAGGTTAAAACTACGTAGACTTTTTTATTGTGGCCTTTATAACTTAAATTTTCCCTTACTATATTGTTTAGTGTTTAGTACTTTATCACTGTGCCCCATTGTGATACATTTTATGTAGACGGATCTGTCTATCGGTTTATGACAGTATAAATCAGTGTAGGAAATGTTTCGCTAGGTTGTCGTATTGTAGTGAACAAGAAAACGAGTGGGGACAATCGAATGCACTTGAATCCGCAATTACAGAACATCTCACTAAAATCTGAGAACCATACCGTAAATACTTAATTTGCAAAATATCAATCCATTTTCTCAAACTTGACTGTTTCTTTTGCACATATCAGTCCATCGTCTGAGATTTCATTGTACCTGCATTTTCATACCAATTGCTTTCCGTTCCCGTTCTTTCCTTCTCGATCTTCTACTGGAGTACATTCTACTCCTTCCTATCTTTATATACTACGTATGTGTATATCAGTAGAGCACACCACAGTATTACTAGGCTCCTTATATGAAAGCCCACAGAAGATTCTTATCTAGGAATTAATATATCAACCACTGTTCTTTAGAAGTGTATATATGTCATCATTTTTGTTGGTGACTTCATCTTAAATACAGCCTTTCTTGCTACTAACTTTTCAGGAACTATTCTCTTACTCATTAGTTGTATCTATCAGTTGTCATTCCTTATCTTAGAACTACTCCTTATTAATACCTATTTTGCACCAAAAAACGAGGAATTAAAATACACTTGATTTGGATAAGTATGTTGAGAGTTAACTTGTGTTGACTGTGGTGAAAGATTTATTCTATACATTTTATGCCACTTTTATTCTTAACATTATTTCATTTATTTTTGTGTTGAAAGTGTCGGTCCACTATGGCTTCTTGGTTTGAATCCTCTTTGTTACACTTTTCTCTTAACTAAAAAACGGATTTCTGTCGATTCTATATGAAGTGAACGTAACTATTGAACTATACACATCGTATTCTTTCAGTTTACCTATTAAATATTCGTATTCGATTTAAAAATTAATTTAAAAGTTTTAACAAATGTAACTGTCTGTTTTCATTGGTTTGCATAATTCGTTCATTCTATTTTGATCATAATAGTTATGCAATAATTAATTGTAGTATAATTAATATCGATTCATTTGTATTTGTACATTTGATTAATTTGTTTGCTTCTCATCGAGTTTTTCTCTTTTTTGCTTACCTTTTTCCTTTGACAATGAATTCTCTTAAGCATACGAAGATCGACCTTTTCAAGACTTATTAACTGAAAAACGTAAACTTGATAAATTTACCCAACAATTATTAATAACTAATCTATCATTCAGTAATCAACAGATTAAAACTAAAGAGGTGAGGTATATTGTTTATTGAGAGTGGATTTTTTATTAAGTGGTTTTTGTTCAGTTTAATTGGAAATGGATTCATGATAACGTTTACCTGTGTTTGCCAACGGTAAATTTATAGGCATACGAGTTTTCTTCTCAAAAATTTGATCAAATCTCACGCCAGTGAAAGTGATCAACTGTTGTTGGTCTACCTGTATGAAAACATCGAAATATGAAAATATGAAAATCCCATTTTCACACGATGTTTCTATAATCTCTACATTTAATTGTGATGGATTTCTTAGGGTAACGTAACAAATTTTGATGGCGGCTGATGTATTTTGTGGAATTTTGATTTATGTAATGCTGTTCAAATAGAAAATTTTCTTCAGTAACTTATTCATTCAATCATTTATTACTTCAATGTATATAATAGGGAAGAACTGAAATAATTACTTAAGTATATGAACTATACTTGTTTCAACGCCTCATTATACTCAACTTTATCATTATTCAGTGGATATGTGGTTTTGACTACTGTGATTCCATTAAGGGCTGTTGGCTCTGAAGTGTGTTGAAGGCAATAATCTTCCTTCCTTGTTTTGGTCATTTATAAACCACAAGTATCTTGCTGTATGATTCTAGATTGTTCCCTTCTCAGTGTTTTTATTAGTAAATCATATGAATAAAAATTCCGATTGTCTACCAATCATTTTTTATTCAATTTCCTTCAAGCAGTTAATATAATTTTACTAGATGGAAAAATGATGTGACTACTTTGTTGTAGTGATAACCTCAAAATACTTTTCATTTTAAAGGTGTAAAGTATTATTAACAGGCTACTTTTTGTGATTATTTCAGTTTCGGCCAAAAAATGTCACGTGATTTTAATTTACTCATTACCTCATCTGTTTAAGCCGTAGCATTACCTCTCAGAAGACCATACAAAAAATCTCTAAGCTTAATTCTCCATATGGTGTGTAACATGTTGCTGGTATATGTAACCGTTGCTGCCTACCGATAAAAGGTTGTTCGAGCTAAAATACGAATTGGGCTTAGCTATTATTAACCATTGATTGAGCTAGTGAATGATATAAAGGTGTTAGGTATGGGTCTTTTTTTGTGGTTTGTTATCATTGTATGCAGTAGTTATATAACGTGTGCCCAATGAGTTAATCTACTAATTCAGACTCCGACTATGACAAAAATTAACAATTCAATGTGTGAATATGAACTGACCAACCTGAGGTATATAACTGTTGCTCTAAATAAAACGTGCAGATGTCAGCAATTAGAGTTTAATTACCATGGCGTTACTGCTTCTCGACTGGAGACAATGAACTATTTTTAGTGAACCATTTTCAGTACACCATCGTGTACGGCAATTAAACATGACATCTGATTTACCTATGACAATAACCTTGTCGTCGTTTGCCAGTTGAATCAGTTATCCTCTGAGGCTCTACTTGATTAAATTCAATCAACACAGTAGTTTATTACAGGCTCATATATCTAACTCTGATTCCTAACCAATGGAAAAACTGGAATAATCACTTATCTATTTACTTATTTGAACCAGAACCCGATACCCGACTGTTGAAAAACAAGTCTTAACTGCTAAACTACAGTTCCTAATTTTGCTGTATAAAAAGTTCACCGGAAACTCTAAATCCAAATAATCTTATCATACTTTATAAGAAACTCCACTAAGTTTTGAGGTTTCACAAAATGCTTTATTGTTGATTATACTGGAATAAAATGTATCCCTGTGGGGTTAGGAATCATTTCCCAGCAATATAACTTGGGTTTTCCTGCCGCTGAGGAACCACGTTTTTGTTTTTGTATTTCCGAAGGTATATATTCATATCTGAAATCAATGTCATGTTGTCCGGCTCTTAGTACTGATCACATTTTCAGTCCTGCATGAGATCATTCACTATCTGAATAACCCAGTGATAGTCTTAATATAATATGAGTTCAAATGAAATCCAAAGTTTTAATTCCCTGAAAATCACAAATACTACCTTGTTTACAAGTCTGACTAACAAAAAACTTAGTGACTAGGTCTCTTTTCTGTTGCATAAATCCAACTCACATTTAAAACATTGTGTTTAACAAGTGCGAATATATTTTTTGAAATCTTTGTTTACTTTCAATAGGCCATTTTCAGGATTCGACGATTGTTATTCTCTATGGGTCGATTTGGACCATATCCAATTTTGTGGCCAATGTATGGTAGTGGAGATTTAACTCAAGGATACTGTCGGTCAGTGCTATTTGCCATGTTTTATTAACTGAAATGAGTTTATGTTCCTCATCTGTAGTCATCTTAAACTACATCCGCTTCATGGCATAAAAAATACTGCTTATTATGCCTTTTCCTAGGATTACCATATAGTGCTCATAAAAATTCTTCAGCATAAATATTGCTCTGTGATATAATCACTCAACATTCTGTTAGCTGCTCTCAGCTTAAATCATACCCCAGTTTTTCCAGTTTGAGTATCTGGATAATAATTTAGATCAATTTGGTTCTAGTTTTTGAGTAGTGCCTCATTTGTTCTGGTCTCGACCCTCGGGTAGTATTTGTCTTATTAAACGCTTTGCATACATAAAACCTTAGGAGCAGATGATTTGGTAAATACACATCGGTCAACTGTGGTAAATTGTCTTTCATTCAGTAGTAACGTCAGTGGGGTAAGATGGTACGTAGGTGTTCTGAATAGTACATTTTTTCATTTGGATATGCCTAGACTTTTACAGCTTTGAAAATGAACTTTTTCAAAAGAATTCTCTTGTTTGACTTTGTTCTACGACTTAGAGGGTATATTGAGAATATTTAAATGATGAATTATTCATTTTTTATAAAAATAGTATTATCTCTCTTTTTTTGCAAATAATAATATTTTCAGAATGTCAGCTGTTTTCGGTACGACATTTTGCCTTGGTTGTAAAGTAGAAAAAATTGAATATATAAAGTCAGAGGTAGATGCAATAATTCGATCTGTTGAGAATATGACCACCAATATGAAAGATGAACAGATAACGACAGGAGCTGACCCTTCATCATCGTCGTCAATATCAAAGAATAATACTGATGATGAATTCATTGTTTATTTATCTAATGGTAAAAAAATAAGAACAAAATGCGTTATTTTATGTCCGGAATGTTTACCATATTCTTGGATTAGTGATTTTATTAATCAGTGAGTTGTTTGCTAATAACACTAGGATCTGTTACTGTTATTTTTTATGGTCATATACACAATTCTCTTTACTACTTAGCGTCCACTTAAATCTACCCTATGAAATAAAAATGAGTTTTAGAAACTAAAGTTTATAATACCGCATAACATTTAAGAAATATGTTGTTCGTTCTGTTTTTTTATGAAAAACTACCCCCGAATGACGTGTGGCTGAGAGTAGTGGGGGTTCTCTCTCTGTCCACAAATGCTCTCGTACAGTCGTGCTTTTACAGAGTCTGCCAGGGAAGTCCTAGCCATCGGACTCACTTGATTAGAGTGTTTTTTACAAAATTGAAAAGATGAAAACGGACCTTTTGGCGCCCAAACAGGGTTGGTGGATACGGGAAGTCAACGTAGGAGAGTTGGAAAACCCTTATTACAAACCATTTGTGTGCACGAGCTGCAGGATCCCAAGGGATTATTGGCGTACAGACCTATTTTTGGTCACGGGCCGCCATAGGACGACGCCTGACGTTTTTCTGCTCCATTGTATATTAGACTTCCCAGTCGACTAATAAAACTGACTACTTCGGTTTGAACGCCTAAGAATTATTTCAGTTCGCATACGAATTTTACTTTCCATGGCACATACTATTTTTGACTACCAGTCGTCCTAAACCCATTTCTTAGCCATTGAAATGTACTTGTCCTGTAGGTCACTGCTGATTGCCATCGGTTGACCTTCTCGTTAGGCTACTTCTAATTGGTTTACCATATCACTATCTTTAATAGTACCTGTCGGCCGTATTTTAAAGTTTCTAAATAATGCACATAATTTTATAAATAATATTTGAGTGAATCGATTACCCGGAAACCCATGCCCTAATCATAGCTGCTAATTTAAGAGGATTGGTCGTAAGTGCTTATATTGGCGACCAATTCAAGCTTTACTGCTCCGTACACTTATTTTTTACCAACCTAATCACACTTGATAGAGAAGCTTTGGAAGAGGTGGAATCTTTCACGTACCTAGACAGCATCATCGATGAATAAGGATGATTGGATGCAGACGTAAAGTCGAGAATTGGCAAAGCAAGAACATATGGAACTTAAAACAACTGTCAACCAATATCACAGTCAGAATCTTCAATACGAACGTTAAGACCGTCCTACTGTACGGAGCTAAAACTTGGAGAACTACTACAACCATCATCAAAAAGTACCAATATTTACAAACAGTTGTCTAGGAAAGATACACACTGTCGTTTTGTCGGCTACCATCAACAACAGCTCAATGTGGAAGAGAAAAAAGCAGTTTCCAACTGAAGAGGAAATCGGGAGACGTTAGAAATGGGATAGAACATACATTGGGGAAGTCATCAAGCTGCATCATGAAGCGTACGCTAACTTGGGATCCTGAAGAGAAACGGGGAAGAGGAAGGTCAAAGAGCACACTGTGTCGAGAATTGGAAGCAGGCATGAAATGGATGAATAGCAACTGGTAAGGATTGCCCAGGTCAGAGTCGGATGGAGAATGGTAGTTGGCAGTCTGTGCACCTCAACGACGGTTAACAGGTATAAGTAAGTACACCTATTCTTTAGGATCTTACCATGCCAGTCGGGTTTGCTGTATAACAGAAAATGTAAAGTTCAATGGCGAAGTTGCTTCATTAACTGTAATAGTTTTTCCTGATATTATGATGTTTTTTACATATAACAAGCATCCTAACGTGATACTGCCTTGTCATAACAGAAGATCTAAAAATAAAAATCGTAGTTACTGACTTAACACCTTGTTCCTTGTTTGTAAAATATTAATTGAAGGTGTCTGATACAGTCAGCCAATCAAAAATCGTCGAATGAAAAAGGTTATGTTGTATCAATCAAAAATCTCCCAATGACAGGTGCATGTGATTGGCAAAATAATAATTTTATTTTTAGGAAGTAGATACATATGCAAATGGATAATTGTGCTTATGAATCACTTTAGTTCAATTGGTTTCCTCTCCTCTCTTAGCCTTCTCATTCAGTAGTTAGTTTGGCTCTTGCGTGCGTCCTAACAGCATCCACTTTTATCCTACTATTCTGTACAAATATAATTGGTTATTCAGTATTCATAATTAACTCTGTTTTCCTTCATAGTTGGTGTGCCCGAGCTGTGCTCATTACAGACTCTTCTCTTTTACCAGATGACTGTAAATCGAGTGATGTAAGTTATCTGCTTTTAGATATTTTAAAAATTATTATATCTTTTTCTGTACACATTATTGCCGATCATTGTGTAAACAATCTGTAGACACACAAGATTTATTAACATGGATATCATATTTATAGACATCTCAGGGACTGAAATTAAAAATAACTCCATCAGGAGAGAAGCTCAGATCAGATTTTAGACGGCAACCTAATAGTTATTTTTCGATATTAGACGCTGAGACTTTCACAAAAATAATTTTCTTTTTCAATGTCTTTTAGGAACTCGGAGTCTAACTATTGAAAAACTGTTTGTTCGAATTCACACTCAAGTTCTCACACAGATGATCTATATTATCATTTATAGAATCCTCGAAACATTATTTTAGGATTAAAGGTGAATATCAACTTAAGCAGCATTCTAATAACAAATTAGTTTAAACAAAAGCCTAAAATCTGCTAGTTTGTATTTTTCTATATTAGATTGTCTAGTGAATATTAAGAGTAACATCTTATTCTGGCCAACAACTCAAAATAATTTACATGCAATCAAAGTCCTATCTTCTAAAAGAATCCAAGTGAAATATCTACGCAAATTACAAGTGATTTCCTACATTTCCGGCATCAACATATGTTTTAGGGAATTTTAAAAAATTCTTTTCTCTTAGATCAAATCCAAAACAGTTTGTATGCATCAATCTTACTTTTGTACAACCTAATCGGTCACTAAAAAAATAATCAGTGTTGTACCGTCTAGTACTTGAGATAGGAGATAAAGCCTGTTTTGATGTTACTGTCAGCATGAAACAGATATAGGTTCATGGTTCCTTGTTGATCATTTCCAACCTATATAATTTGTGAATAGTCAATCACTCGAACATAAGTGATTGTTTCTTGTGACTTAATGAATTTTTTATGTACCAGCACCGACCAATGCGCATAGCAACCAATAAGCAACAGAGACAAGAGAGCCGATACTCTACGCTTGGTGGTTGGCCCAATACTAACTAGCCCCGAACGGAGAAGAGTAAAACAAGACCAATTATCTCCAATTTAAGATGGTCATTATATTTCAGAAATTCATTTACATACATATAAAATCAGACCACTCAGTAGACTAGATAACTAACAGTATTAACACAGAAGAACGACACAAATTATTGGAAAAACGGAGTACCGGGTACACGAATCATCGGTCCTAGTTTATGAGTGAAAAATGTTATATCAGTAATGTACAGTTCAAATAAAAGCTTGGAACTGGGGTAATACGAAAATAAATAAACCAAAATACCTAACAAATATTCAATCGATATGTTTAAATAAAATCGAGAGTTTTTACATCATAGTTAAATCATCTCTCGTAACATAAATAGGTAATTAAATAAAACAATTTCATGCTTAAAATTACATTTGTTTAAATACTGTAAATTACAGTTATATTTAGGTATGTATTATGTGCGCTGTATCATCAAAAAATAGATATTTAAATTGTGTTGAAACTTGCTTTATGACTGTAGGACTGACGACTTTCGATTTTACTAATGATGCGATGATCAACCAGTAACGACTCAGACCTTAAATTTCTTTTCAATCCAGTGTTTAGTCAGAAAATGAAGTACGTAAGCAGTTATCATCACTATAGTACTGTATTCATTCATGACTCGAAACTTGTACACTTATGTTCTTTAAATATCTGACCTCAACATACTAACACCACTGACAATCACAGTGTATGCGTAACTCATTCATAAGTAATACTAAAACAAAGCAGTGTGGAAATAATTGACTAATCATAATTCCGGAACTAAAAAGCAATAATAATGGCTGCAACAAATCATAATTTTAATAGTTGAATTCATGAGTCGATCTAAGTTACACCACCACTGAAAATCTGGAAGCACTGGACGACTGTTTCGTTCTAGAATGGGACTCCTCAGCAGTGCGCATCTACGAGCCCACACATGGGACTCGAACCCAGGACCTTCGTTCTCACGCGAGAGCTCTTAACTTCTAAACCATACTATGACGAAACGGCCGTTCAGTGCTTCCAGAATTTTAGCTGTGGTCTAGTTTTAATTGGCTCATTAATTTCATTTATTTAAATTACTACAATCTCGATAAACCCCCATTCTGATGATAATTTATAAGTCAAACAAAAAGCGTACATATAGACGAGTATAAAAACAGTAGTTTAAGCGTTTAATAGTTCAAAATATCAAGATGGCAATTTGTGCGTGTTCTTCAACTATTTTCTTTGTTGTTCTTCTTCTTTTACAACCCAATATTCACTCTTGCAGAGTAAATGTTCATTTGAAAACTTATCTTTTTCACAGATTTCAATACTTGCATATTCATTTAATGCAAACAATCAACAAAATGATTTATGCCTTGATCCTGTTATCATAATTGAATGTCAAGTTGAAAAAAATAAATTCTGTAAAGATAATTTATGTAAGTTTGTTCATAAAACATTGTTTTATTTTTTTTTTTTTGGATTTTTTTGTGAAGATTTACACGTTACAATGCAGATGTGATGTGTGTCATTAAGCCTTGAAAACTAAGATATAGAGAGCTGTATATATTTTGTCCTAGTCTATCGACATCTTAGTAATATATCCATCTGTACATCTGGGTAAATAATCGAACTCAGTTTTTTTTATTACTTTCTTTTAACACAATACTTTAAATTCAGTGTACCAGAATTCTTATAGTTCATATTTTTTGTTCAATTTTCAACCAATTTATAGTATATAGTTAGTTCACTCACCTTCCGACCGTATCGTAATCATCTAAGCATTCGACTAATATGTCATCATCACGGTTTGACTTGTTGATTTCTGATAGATTGAGGATGGGGTGGATTTTTAATAATAGGAATAATAATATATTTGTAATATCTCCCAAATGCTCTGGTACGACCGAGAGTGGGGAGAGTTCGCTCTTTTAGAAATGCTCTCACATGTCAGATGGTGGTTGGAGGTAGTTGACAGGAAACCCTGAACCCGGGTTTCGTGCTACTTGGCACTCGTCAGAAAGTTGTACCTGTAATCTTGAGGGAACTGGTGCTCCCTGACGGATATGATCCCGTGTCACCCAGCTTCACATGACATTGATCACTACTCAGTGATCAGTCAGTTGTAAATAAATTTCCATCTTACAGACGTTACCATTGAGCTATCCAGTTCGCGACGAATCTCCTGTAGGACTGAGATGTAATCAAAATTGATTGGTCACTGGGTGGTGGCCAATGTCATGTGTGTCAAGTCCTCACATGTCCACGCGTATACAGCCACTGTCAGGGAATTCCTTCCCGTGGTGGGGGTGTTGCTTACGAAATCGAGAGGACAAAAAGCGAATGTCTGATGCTTTAACCGGGTTGGTGGGCATGAACGGTCCACTCAGGGAAGTTGGGAAACCCTGACTCCAAACCAATGGTGTACATGGGCTCCAGAATCTTGTGGTCAAGGAATAGCGTATGAACCTAACGCTGCATCACTGTCTTGTAGACTAGACCTGTATGTCAAAGGCTCGGGGAGTGGCCTCCTAAGAAAAGCGTCTGCTTCGGTCTTGGCGCCCGGGCAGTATTCCAGCCCTCGCAGAAATGGAATGTCGAAGTGTGACACATATCTATTCAACACCTCTTTGTGTCAATGTTTTTGTGCTTAAATGAGTAAATAAATGATAAAACTAGATTTTTGACGTTTTATGATTTAATGGATGCTACTGAGTCACACCCACTATCATATAAATGCAAACAAGCAGGTCTCACATAAACAAATCAACTTAACCAAATTAATTTTGATTGTCTCAAAAGTATTCTGTTTCGTCTCTTGTATACTATTTACACTTGTTAATTTAATTCGGTTATTTATATATTTACTGTAAAGAAGTGGTTTAAAAGTCACGAAATATCAATAATATAATTTCCTACACACTGGAACTTTCCAACTATATCATTATTTCTGTCATTTGACCAAGTCTTTTTCTGTGAAAAAGAAACGTGTTAACCTCGATCAGTAATCATCTTTCAACTGGTTTACTTGGCTTTTAAATCTTATTTCACTAAGATATGGAAAATGAGATAATGCTGTTGCCTAAAGAAGAGTAAATATTTTTTGTGAACCGATTACCGTCTGCATTAAACGTTGGCAACTTATTATTAATTAAAGCATTTCATGGTGTACACCTAAGTTTATCTCTATTACTACACTATTCACAGACAAAAAGTAAGTCAACGGAATCTCGCATTATCTGATGAGTCCGTTTACCCATGTTTTTTCGACTATATTTTTCTATCTACTTATAAGTAGTTGGAAATATTCAAAACCATTTTGAAGGCTTTTTTAAATATTATACTGTTAAAATTCTGGCAAAATCTGTATACTATAGACGTAAATATGTTTTCGTTGTTATTAGGGTTAAAGAAAACGATTCTTTGTTTTTATGATGAGGATAATGTTCGTTTATACAGTTGTTGTCATCTATCCTTATTATGAAATAAATGTCAATAACTGTTAGTTGGGTTAAATTTGATTGATCTCTGTAAATAACAGTTTTTCCTTCTTTTACATAAATGAATTTTTGATCGGCTGAGTCGTTAAATATTTATAAGTTATGAGTAACTCTATAGTATTTTGTATATAAATGGTATTTGGTTAATTATATTTCTTGTTCATTTTGTTGTAATAATTAAGTGATAAGAAATTAATCTTTCAACACAGGCATTATGTACGTTAAATTGTGTGAATCTATGATTCTTTTACTCTAAATTGATTGTTAGTGTCTACTAATACTAAGTCAAGTAAAATAAATACCGTTGCTTCGTTCCACCTTTTGACTTCTGTTCAGATTGTAAATCCATCCTGAGAGACTATTCACTTTGAAGCTTAATTTTGTGTCAGATTTTGCTATGTTTGAGGAAGTTACGATATCATCCAAAAACGGCGGACGGAATGAAAGTCTGCAACACAACAGGACAGGCTAATCTATTCCACTGCTCCTCAGCCCTACTAACTAGAGGGAGAAGACCGGATTCAACTGAGAGAATTGTATATTTCACAAACAGTCGGAAGCACGAACGAACAAGCACTGAACTCATGCATATATATAGAGTACAAAAATGTCATTGAAAAACGTCACAGAATAGCCTACTAAAAGAGGAAATGAACCAATGATATTTCAGATCTACTCAAGTGGTCAATACAAACTGATGGTAAAAGTGGGCGCATTAGCTCAAAATGAGGAAATCAAATTTCGATAATAAAATTACGAAAATGAGTTGTTTATGAAGTGAGTTCTGGGGATCTAGCATTCCAAACAGATTTCCAGTCTATTCGAGTTCAATTAGTTCTCGTTTGTATTCGAAGATTCTTATATACTGTTTTAAATTAAAATTTATCATAGATCTCAATCAGAAGTATTATAGGATCTTCAAATGTTTAGCCATTTTTATTAGTGCATTCCCTAAGTAAAACCACCTACTTGCTGTCACTTTATGTTAACACCGTCCCTAGCAAGTTTAACTAATTTGAATAACATCAACAGTATATCACTGTGTCACATGACACACGCATTTATGTAGACCTGATTCATATATTTTGGTACTTACTGCTTTGTTGTTCCGTGCTCTCTGTTTTCGTTTTAATTTCTCTGGCACACGAAATGACCTTCATTACTCCGTTCATAAATCAACAGGCTGTCCATTTAAGAAATATTAAAAACTCCCGGCTGATGCATTGAATCGCTGTAATACATGTACTACCTAAACAATTACTGAACTAGTATACTTAAAACTTCGTTCTATCACATGTTTGTTCTACACATCTAATGTTAATATTTATATCAAATTGATCATGTCTGTAAACTGGCGTGAATTCTGTAATTATTATTCTGAGAATATAAATTATTACTATTAATTCCACTCAGAAACGTAACATTACCAATAATAATATTTCTTATTCATACAATAATGCTGATTCGGTAGTTCAAGAGTAGATTATTGTGGATGATATAGATAACCGAAGATTTATTAAATAACTAAGATGATTATATCACTCAGTTATTTGTATTGTCTTATAAATAAACAAGCTGATCACTCGTTCTTCCTTTTTGTCTGAAAACGAATTTCGCGATACATTACAGTTTTTATATATTTTTAGTTAGCTTTACTTTCCTAACTCAAGCATTGTATACTCAATGGTACAAAAATACAAAGATTGGATAATAGTAACCCGTGATACCCTCTATTCTTAATGGCCATGTTTCACATTCATAAATTAGAACTGCTGCTCATTAAACTCGTCCTTTGGTCAGGATACGGATATAACTTTGTGTATATATATAAATGAGTATTTGTGCATTTTATTCGGTACCACAATATCATTTCTCGCTCAATGTGCCAGTTGGGGGTTAGTGCATTGTATACAGTGTATTAGATTAGGACATTGCATGCCACAACTGGATCACATCTAAATCTTGCTTTGATTGCTGTTTAAGTTGGTCAAAAGACTGGATCTGTCAGCGTTTTCCCCAAACAAATGTATATCATCTGCATATTCTAATTCAACAAGTGAATATCCTGGTAGAAGATCAACATCTGAAATGTCAGACGATGAACGTGTTATTTCTTAAGGCATGTCTATGATGAAGTTAAATATAAAGAAAGAAAGCAAATAACCCTGATAAACATCATTTGAAGTAACTAATTCCGATGACAGTTCGCCATGAGCTCTGGCTCGACCAGTAGTGTTTGAGTAGAGAGTTTACAAAATCAATGTGCTTCTCTGATATGCCTTTCAAGTGCGGACACTGCCATAGAACCTTACGATCAATAAAATATAGTTACAAATAACTAAAATTACTAACGGAAAATAAACTTGGAAACAATTTTAAAACTCAGGGTCTAAAGTGAAGACATTGAGTGAATGCATATGAACCATTTCAAGATAACGCTTCTACAAGTTAGCAATAGATAGTTTAGTTTTTTTTAAAAATGCAGTTCGTAAACACCAAGTTTTTTGTTACTCTATAACCAACATTTAGATGTCTTTCTTCTATTAATCTAACTGAAAAAGCTTTAAAATTGAGTTTAGTATCATATCACACAAGGAAACTACATAAAAACCGAAATTTGATTACAAACGAAATATACCAATGAATAAAGAACGTAGTCTGTTATTTGAAAAAATAAAATTAAGAGAAACAATATCTCGTTAAGTTTATCAGGCCTAATTTTTTTCGATGAAGATTCTGATATTATCATGCATAATTTTGCTTCTAGCAAAATATCCAAGGAATCATTTGAATGATAGTGATTCACAATAAGGAGTAAAATAGTTGTTGAATGAAGAGAGGGTGGTTAATGACTGATTTTTTCTTATAAATTACGAAATATTAGATGGTAATGTGTATCTTTTTATGTTATGATAAATTATCTCTCTTTAGATGTCTGCAGCAAATACGGTAGAATTAAGTTGTGCCGTCTTAAAACAAATGTAACCGACCAATCAAAATAAACATAGCGATTGTTCAATTTGAGACGGATTTAAGGATTGCTTGCTACCAAGTGTTATGCTCTTGACTAGATTTCCCATTTTGACTCATTGTGATGGTGACTGAGCCGTAGATCACCTACAAGATATTAAATTATTGAAAAAAAATTTATATTGCTGTAGCCAGAAAATGACATCTAAAGATGCCACGGAGTTCAGAGGTGATGTTTTTTTAAGTGTTCGAGTTAGTATGTTTAGGTTTAAATGTTCAACCTTTGGAGTGTTAATTTTACGATAATAAAGTTTAAATGCCAGTGCTTCAAAGCTGCATTCCATCCACTTCATATATCAATGCTACATCCTAATCAACTGATATTCGATTGGTTATTCTCAATCATCCTAAAAATCAAGTGCGTTGGTGTATTTTCTGTTTCAAAAGCCATGGGAGTTGACCTAATCACTTGAATGTTGGTTACTCACGAATAATTTCTAAACTATTCTAAAAAAATTCTAGTTGAATATATAAGAAAACTTCGAAGTTTTATATAAGGGATATGTATGTCTTAGTTTATATGTGAATAGGATTGGTTGTACCATCTTTCTTTTCATTTGAACAGATGTGTATGTCTGTATTAACTCATGTGCGCATTGGCGCTCGTCAGCATACTGATTTGACTGTTGAATTGAGTATTTTTCGTTTTCATTTTAATTCAGTATTCTTACCTTCTACCAAATATACGGGGAATGACTCAACTGTATTTAATTGGGAAATCAATTTCATTTACTGTAATCAATTGATGAGTAGCCTGGTTTTTTAGTCTGGATATTTTATTATGTATATTTTTCTCTACCCAAAATCCATATATATATATATATATATATATATATATATATATATATATATATTGTAAAGTCAAAACAACAGGAAGGTATTACCTACAATGATTTATGCTCTCATTTGTAATGAAATTAATGTATTTTCAGCCCAACCTGATTAGTATGCTAATTCTCTCTCGACTTATAACAAAAATCATACAATTCATTTGTTTTAGATGTCGATCTATTAAATATACCATATACACCCAACTTAGCAATAACTATTTCTGTGACCCCAATGTGAAAGAAATTGTGATTATGCTTAAATCTAGAATGATGAAAGGCAAGCCAAATGACACCATGAATTGGAAATGTTTGTACACTCCAACTAGTATTACAGAAATAATCATTTCCAGTGTAAGACTACTAGGTAGCTAGTTATACAAAACTATCTGGATGAAAGTAAATGGGTAAAGTTCGAACTTGAAACCCAATAGCTGTGTTTCAGTCGGTTAACACAACTTGTTTTGTAGTAATCATGCTAGATACATTTTATACCTCTATTAATTTAATTAACGTTTATCCTTTTATTTGCAAAAAACCGACACAATCACGTTGATTTTGTTATGTTGAATAACTTTTATCACTGTCAATCTTCTCTCTTTCAGGAATGTCAATAATAAATAACAAATATAGTCTTTTTCATGTGTTACGATTATGTTTATAATGTATTGTTAGTTTGAAGTGTGACCGCTACAACCGATTGTAATTTATATCATACATTGTAGGGTTACTAATGAGTAGTTTATTTGTATACCACATCATATTTAACTTGTTTCGCTTTTTCAAATGAATTATTGATGTATCTATCTACTTTGTACTATGTAATTAATTATTTGATTTAATATAAGGAAATAGTGAACCAATAAAATTTTATCCCATTATAAATTATAAATGAATGCTTTTTGATTGTATATAGTTAATGAATGTTTGAAATAAGACAATCTATCCCTCTTTTACTACCGAATAAAATGTTAATTAATTAGATGTTCGTTTGTTAAAATTTACTATCTAATTAGTATTACTATCAAAATTAATTAAAAAAGTGCATTTTACAATCCATAAAGGTTTTTTAATTTTACCATGGTTGTACATAGTTTTTGAACAAATCAATGATTAGCGGAGACGTGCATTGTATATTGATGTAAGGATTCTAGGGGAGAACAAACCATGACATGCTATCAGCCTCCGAATTCCATGATTGCTGGTCAGAGTCATGTTGGTAGATTCAGTCTACTTGGTTGGAGTCCACATGATAACGATGATTAGTGTCTAGTGTCTTTTTGTGACATGGTTTAGAATCGTTCATAATGACACGAATGTATTCACACCTTATCTTCCCCTCTACCTTGAATTATCATATTGTTTTGTACACAAATTTTCCACTTAGTTTTTTTTGCGAATCACATTCTATATATTTCGTCTGTGTCATTGTCATTGCTAATACATTATTCCAATATATTTTACCATACTTTTTGATTTCATCCCACCATATTGGTATTCTATATAATTTTGGGTGAACGTATATGTGTCAGGCTCTATTTTTATGTTGACTGATTGTTTATGGTAAACTGTCAAACAAATCACTTTATTCGTAGTCATTTACTGGTGATGATAACAATCTGAACATAGATAATGATTTCCACACGTGAATTCTCTATGTCGTTATCTGACAACAACATCTCAATAGCTCTCCAGCGAATTTCTTGATGAAGATCCTATTAAAAAAATAATGAGTTTACTATGAAACTAACCATGACTTTGTTACTTGATATAATTTGTAATAATTTAACCTTGAGTGCATTTCAGTAATATATATATATATATATATATATATATATATATATATATATATTTGTTTTTGAAAAATAGTTTGGAATAACTGTAAACAATAAATATAAAGTTGTTTTTTATGACCTTATTAAACGTGCCAATGTTCTGAAGAAATGTTTGCCAAACTTAAGTTTAGACCGGTTTATGTTTTCAATAAAATACAATAAAGTCAATACATTCCATTCATATACAATCCTGTTTTGTATTGCACTCATTGTATGTGACCAGAACAATAAACACTTACATTTCATCAGTTTTTATTCATGTGATTATTTTCCTATTATGTCTATCTAGATTAACTAAAAAATGTAGAAAGAAGTTTGAGTTACATTTCACTGAATAGCTAACTTTGAAATTGTCTTTCTATTGAATATATGCCTAACTCGCTGAATTTGCAAGTTCGTCCAAATACTTCGCATTATTTCAGAAGTCTAATAAACTCTAACTAGTTAATACCCGACGATACCACTTATGTTTTCGTACTTTGTACTATTTCCCTATCGAAAAACAAGTATGGTGTTGTAGTACTAGACTTTCTAATGGTTTACAGCTATAAAACACGGCGTTTGAAAATTAAAGACGTAAGTTCTTAAAGCTAGATCATAGACGTCTTAAAGCATTGTTGGTGATTAGTAGAATTACTGAGAGATCAATTCTGGGGGCAAACGTTGATTTCTAGGGAAATTCCCAAATCATTCGTTGCCACTTCACCAGATCAATGTGTCTAAAACATACTTTACAGACACTTCGCCCGTCTGTTCCAATGCACTATTCTGATCAGTACATGAACAGAAATGCTGCCTTCCCTTAAAGTGAGGATGGAGTTAGAAAAGGTAGATCCTAAAAATTCACTTGCCTTTCCTCACAAAGCTAAATCTCTGGCGGTAGGGTCTCAACAAGTACAGAACTAACACGAGAATTATTCACAAAAAGGTCGTGTGTGACCGGCCTCCAACAGTTGTTCCTTGGGCACTGCGGTCACGTTCTCAGGTCATTCGAAACAACTCTAACTTCTTTTCGGGTACCTCTAGAACAACCGTTCCACGGTGTGCGTAACCGGGAGGTGTTGCTACCGTCATACCTCTAACAACACTCAAGATCGCTGTATTCATAATTAATATGTCTCTTCATTCCCTGTTATTCCTCCTACTCAGACCTTCAGCTATAAACATCCTATTTTGCCTTCCTCTTCAAGCGTCACCTTGGCCAACAATTCTAGTGCGCGAAACACTCCCAGGTCTACTGAAACCTTGCTTCAAACTACACATTGGGGCCTTCAGCTTGTATTCTTTATTTCCCTCAAAACTTCAAGTCTTATCATTATTTCCAACTTTGGAGATTTTATTCATTATTGCTATATTCTGTTTTCCTTTTCCAATTCAGTTGTTTTCATCACATTTCAACATTTTTCTCGTTTTATTAATTTTTCAGGATATAATGTTTATGAACTTGAACCGACACATTCTGATTATGTCCGACATTATTCACAATTAACTTATTGAAAGACTTCTCTTCTACGAGAACTATATTAAGTCAAGAACATGTGTAAACATGAAGAATTTTCATCATCTTCAGCATTATACTCAAAATAGGACCTGAAACATATGTACATCGGTTCACGTTTCCCTACAACATTAATATAAGGGGATAAAATTATTTCAAGACAAATCCCAGCATATTAGTAGTAGTAATAGTATCAGCTTTAATTAGGTGTCGAAAAAGAAATGAAGTATAGAGTGACTTCGGCAATCGAATTTTAGAAGAAGACATTAAATTTATGCTCTCCCTCCCTTGTGTGTGTCAACTTTCACGCAATTTAGATCCTAAGTTTCCTGTCGAACTACCTTTAACTAGCTAATAGTAGAACTATGCTGATTTGCCTTCTCGTTCTGCTTTTTCTCACTTCATGTTAATTATTATTTGTAAATAAACTGAACTACTCAAGCAAATGAATTATTTGGTAAAATTTAAATTAGAAAATAAGTAAGTAATTTTAGATTTCATACATAAAACAGCGTAAATTGCTAATTGTTTCAGGTGGATAATGAATCCAATTATATTTGGCTTTAAATATATATATATATCATATTGTGATTACTGTCGTTGTTTTTACTCCTTTTTTTCTCGTTACAATCATTTGTTCACCGTTCTTTTCTCTTTTTTTTTCTCTTCAAAACAATAAAAATTAAATTCAGTTGTCGTACATCTATGTGCAATCATTAAACAACCGTATGATCCAAAGAAAATTTTCCAACCTCTTCTAAATTGTTTATTTACACAATATGATGATAGTGAGTTTTGTGTTGTTTTTTTTTAACGTTGTATTCCTTGTTTGATAATTTGTAACAAAAAACCATTAAGAACTAAAAAGGTTTTTTTTTCAAAGAGAATTTTCATTTCTTAGTTATGAGTTGAAATGAAACTCTTCGATGACACTGAAGTAATGAAATCGAAATTATTTAATTTATGTGTAAAGAAAAAGATTTCCAATCTAACGATTTACAGCAAATTGTCACAGGTTTTTGTATGAAAGATGACGACGTATAAATAGATTAAAATTAATTGACTTCAATTGAGAAAACTGAATAAAAAGCTTGGATTCGAATAGATTTAATTAAAATTTATGAACTAACACGTTTACATTGATCTTGTGACAAATAAAATACTCTTGGTTGTTTAGTTCTAACAATCATGATACCCAGATAATGTTTTTTTAACCACTAGTTACCAACTACCATCGAGTTATTGAACGATTTAACCCATCGCTCTTATTTCCAAAGTATTTACACCTCTAAACTATTTGATCATTTAACATTTCAGTTAACTTCTATGTAGTCATCAGTTAGTATAATCTAGCAGAAAATGTTCAACCGAATAAATATTCACATGTGTTTCGTGAATCAATAGTTTCACTGAAATAGCACACTTTGTTATTTCGCACAACTCAAAGTGAGCCGCTTAACTAAGAAATCGTTCATGAATATTCTTTTCTGTTTCATAGATCTTTGAGATGTTCCACATTGTATAGTCTATCTTGATTTTGATATTCATCTTTTTTTTCTCTGTATATGTGTATGTGTAACTTAAAAAGGTGGGAATTTTTCCCGTACTTTTTATGTTGGTCCTGTTTATATATATTACTTTGGTTTTCTACATTTTTCATATATTTATTGTTATTAATTATAAAACGATCGAAGATGGTAGCGCAACATCGTGGATCGATTGATGTTAACATTAACACCAACGGCTCTCGGCCTGATTGTCTAGAGTTTGAGTGTTCGCGCGAGATCATAGATCCTGGGTTTGAATCCCGTGTCTGGGATCGTGGGTGTGCATTGCTGAAGAGTCCTGTACTAAAACGAAACGGATGCCCATTGCTCCCAGGTTTTCAATGGTGGTCTAACATTGATCGGTTCATGATTGCAATGAAATTCAACAATCTCTACAACCCCAAACTTGAAATTAATTAGTTCTTTGCACAATTTATTTATTTGTTTATACTTATAATAGTCTATTGAAGTACAAATAATATAATAGATATTAGTCAGCAATAAAGTTATCACGATCCCGTAACAGAAAAATTTTTTAAGATCCATTTTAGCGATGATCGCATTAGTACATTATAGGCTTACTTGAAATTTGACTCAGTTGATTATGCCTATACAGAGAAAATCAGCTGTTCATAGTTTGAAGTAGTTTTAACGTTGCCAATAGAGAATAGATGAGATCATATTATGCATAAAGTACATAATTTTATCTTGTGGATTCTTCCGTCATTAATATTCTCCTAGACTAGACTATTAATATTATAAACTGTCACCTGACATGACTGACTTTCCGAAGAGACTAGAAGAATTACTGCGGTTATCCTGTTTCACTTTAATGAGAAGTAGTATTGGTAGACAGGTTTATCTCCATGGGTCATCCAAAGAGACCCTATATTTACTGATATTTTTCTAGCATAACTAGAAAATACCAAATCCTAAAGATGTGATAGAACAAACGTCGATGTATTCTAGTTATGCTGATGGTAATACATTATTTAACAACAGAAACGATGGCGATCACTTAAATGTTTTTTTCTAATCGATTCCACAGAATCTCGAATTTACATACGAGCCCAAAATATAAAACAGAATGAATTTTTAATACTTAGGGATACTAAGAAACAAATATGTTACGGTTCACATCCTATAAACCGTAAATCTTCCTAAATGCTCGTGTTTTCATTTCAACAGCTTTTGATCGATTTTATATAGAAGTCTTGTTAAAATGTTGTTCTTTATAAATAAAAGACTATATTCAAAAGACTCACTCGACGACGAGATGGAAATTTTGCAGATAACCTTAGTCCGTAAACCTTAGTGTCTTCAAGTTCCTCAGAAATCGCGTTTTTCAACGACACCAGTTTGAGAGGTGATAGTGCCTTTAGTTTTCGCTGAAGATCATGTTTTCATAAAGAGCCCACAAATGACTCTACAACTCATATCGCTTAATTGCTTATATATATTGTCTAATTCACTCTCAATATTATCGATGCTTAATTGATCTTGATGTACGGCTCGTTATTAAACTAGAGACTGAGTCATCCAGTGGCAGTTCGTTCTGCTTTACTTTACGGCTGCGAAATGTGGCCATTATTAGTAGAAGATATTCGTTAGCTACTAATATTTGACCACAGATGTCTTAGAAATATTGCTCGCATCTACTGGGATCAACAGGTAAGTAATAGTGAGGTTAGACGTAGGGCATTAGGGAATGATGGTAAATCAGTTGACGAGGTTGTGAATCTTCATTGACTGAGATAGTTGGGCCACATATTATGTATGCCTGAACATCGATTGCCACGCCTTACAATGCTGACTAGTGTAAGGGATGGTTGGGAAGAAGTTAGGGGCGGCCAAAACAAAACGTGGAATCTGTGCTTGGAGTCCCGAACTTGTGGTCTGAGCCATGTTGATAGATGCAGACTACTCGGTTGGGGTCCGCGTGACTATCGTAACCAATGGTTGGATACTGTGGGTGACATGGCTCAGAATAGATCACATTAGCGTCGATGTATATACTCTCTGTCTTCCCTCAAACCGTGAGATTAAAATCGCTTCATATCTTTCTTTCTATGAACCAATTTTTTCTTCCTGTACTATCTTACTTTTATATAGTACCACCACTGAATTAACCACTTCAATGAATTCAGTGTTCACCTTTTTGTTCTAATGAGGTATGGCAACTTGGATCGATTCACATATGTGCCTGATCCTACGTTGTAGCTGACTGACTGACATCCAGCAGCAAGTGTTGTGTAAGTTTACTCCTAACATTATCTGTTTCAGAAAACGTTACTAGGCTTGTGCTAAAGGTAATAACATAGTTGTCATTATCTGAGGGATTAGGGCTTTTGCAGTCTCGTTTTCTTATAGTAGACCCATTTTGATATATGTGTTAATCCTGATGCATTATACGCGTTACATGATAGGATTCAATAACATCTAAATACTTTCTATTAGATACCGTATTATTGTAATGCAAAGTTCAAACTGACTGCATAACGTTACAACTCTATGTAATTATAGATGGATGAATTTCGCGCTAAAATCCCACAGTTCTTATCTTAAAGCTGATCGTCTCGTCAATTTGTTCCAATTTAATGACTTGTTAGTGAACCATAAAGAATGTTTTAATGCTAAATTATGTCATCGAGGTGAACTACTCGTGTGGATCACGGAATATGAGTATTCTTTTTCTTTATCTGTTCTACAACTTGACAATCTGGCACAAATCAATTGGTTTTCCTTAATATTCTGAACATCAAACAAATCAGTGGAATGCGAATGTATTGGGATTACTTCTCGTTCACAATTCATTCATATTCATGCTATTAATTTGTTTTTAAATTTTAATATTGAATAAATCATTATTAATAATACTGGTAATAACAGTAATGCTAATAGTAATAATGATTATCATTATGGGTTCGATATGTAATGGATTCAGAATTCGCTCTGTTTATAAGGTACTATTTAAACTGTCGGTTCTGGTTTTTCAGCTCTTATATTCATGAATATATATTAACTGATTCAATACCATTTTTTATTGAGAGTTAAGTCTATATGAACTTTAAACAGTCGTATAATTTTTATTAATATTAAATGTTAATGTTTATCATAATGAATAGCTTTCAGATCATTGAACATATATGTATTTATTTCGCTATTATCATTTTGTTGAGCTGATGATTGACAACGAGAATAATAGTGCTATACTTATTTCTCGTTTCACTTATTTTAATAGTTATAGGTTAATTGAGGCTGTATCAGTTTAAGTTCAGTAATATATTTATTGAAAACTATGAAGTACTGGACAGATGTTTTGTTCTATTATGGAGTGCTTCAACAGTGTGCATTCACAATCTCATCCTGGATCGGATCCAGGACCTTCGATCTCCTGACAAGAGCTTAACCTCTGAACCACTGAGCTGACATTCAAGTGTTTAGATGTTTGAATTCAATCAGTTCACGATATTACTCAACTATTTCTCTCTTGCTTTAATGAGTAACTAACTGCTACACACTCGACATGGTTGAATTTCACTAGTCATGGCTTCTCATTAGAACTCCGGGAATTACCGCTCAAAATCAATCATTAGTGAGCACGTGATCAATAATTACCATATCAGATTTGTAGGGATAGTTGAAGTTTGACACCACGAACGACCCTATAAAAAACATTATTTCTAGTTTAGTATCACGACGATTTTGTATATAATAACTTATCTAATATTTATCATCTATGTGTTAATGAATTGTTCTTTTACGTATAAAGCTAAATAGTTTGTATACATACATCGAAGATGTTATTCTGTCATACTGTAATTCTTATTGGTAGGTATCAATTCAGCTTTTCTTTATTCGTTAAATCAGTAAATAAAGGTAGATTGTGTTTGACTGACAGGTAAGTTTCTAATAGTCTGCATGTTACGCACAGTAAGTGAATCGTTGTATATGCAACTGCATCATCATGAGCGGTAGTTTACAAAATTACGCATAATATTTAAACTGATATGTTTTAATTTCTTAAAATTCAATGAAATTTATAAACTACATCAAAAGCTAAACAGTTTGATATGATCGACAGATCTGCTTCTTACCGACTTAAACTTAATAAATTATCAGTAGTAATATTATGCATCATAATGTTGAACAATCCAATGTAGAATTAGGCGAGTGCCAGACATTTTCTTGCCAGTTGTTACATCCAGAAGAATTAAGAAGCTTCGACATATATCTTGTTT